TGAAAAGGCATTGTGAAATAACTTTGTTTTCTATAGCTGGTTGTGAGAATCATATAATCTCACGTGGCCACAATAGCGGCCTCACGATTTTGGATTTCTGTAAAGAGCCAGATAATTACGAGATTGGTTTCTGTGTGTCTGGTGTTATGGCTGTGCCAGAGAGCTGTTCGTTGGGGGGCAACTTGTGACCTTGGTAGGGCGTGAAGGACGAGCCGGTACCACCCTCCTTCCCATGAGACTGCAGTAGCCCCGTCAACACTGGCTCATACCTTGCTTTCCAAGAAGCTCTGAGGTGGTGGCCACTTTGTATGCGGTCCAGATTCATTTCTGCCAAAAGCCGCTGGGTTTTGAGATTTGTTTCTGAGTCTCTGGGATCATGGCCATTAATGAACTTGATCAGGAGCCAGAGCGGCTGTTTGTAGGTGGTGACTGGGAGTCTCACTAGGATGGGGAGGAAAGGGCTGGTTGTACCCCCATCTGGTGAGGCCTGGTGTGTCTCATCACTGCAGGCCCAGACCTGACTGTCCAGTGGCCTCTGGAGGATAGTGGTCACCAGGCCGCCAAGGGGAACAGGCCAAGGCACAAAACCTATTCCCACTTATTCCCGCCAGTGACCTACTGCACGAACAGGATGTATTTCTGCCAAAAGCCTTTGGGTTCTGAGATTTGTTTCTGAGTCTTTGGGATCATGGCCATGAAGCAGTTCGATCAGGAACCAGAGAGGCCATGCCTCCAATTATATTGCTGAGCTGGAGGTGGCTTCTGGGTGTGTCTCCCACATACCTAACTTTTGGTCATTTACTTTCTTGGTAAACTTTGCCCTAAGTTTTTGGGGTCTGGCCAAAGGTACAGCAGCAATTTGGGGGTTATCTGAAAGCCTGACAGTGCTCATCAGGCTGCTGATACACTCGCCTCACAGGTACAAATTGATCTGTTGATGGTACCATACCCCCAAAGAATGCTTATAGAATTTAAAATTAGTATAACTAAGGGTAAAGAAACAGCCTTGAGCTCTGAATTGTATTTTTTGTTAAAATTTTATATATTCAAACTGTATATCTGAAGGGGTCACAAATGTGTGTGATTCAACCGTAGAGCACTTGAGTTGCACTTGTGAGTCCCTGGTTTTGATCCCTGGCACTGAAAAAACAGTATCAGGTACATTTGAGCCAAATTGAAGATCTGGATTCTTGTGAAACTGGAGAAAAGTTAGTCACATTAAATATAATCAGTTTGTTTAATGCTAATGATAAAATAGAAACCTTAGTCCTTATCTTACTTAAAATGTATTTTATTTAATTAAATTAATTTTTTTATTGAATCACTGTGAGATAGTTACAGAGTTTCATAATTGAGTTTCAGTTGTACAACAATCAAACACCCATTCCTCCACCAGTGTACATTTACCACCATCAGTGTCCCCAGTATCCCTCCTGCCATCCCCACCCCACCTCACTCCACCCACTGCCTTTATGGCAGGAACTTTCTTTTTACTCTCTTTCTACTTTTGGATATTATGGTTTGGAAAACAGATACTGAGAGGCCATCATGTTTGGTCCTTTGTCTACTTTCAGCACACATCTCCCGCCTGAGTGATTCTTCCAACCATCATTAACTTAACTATATATTGAAGGAAAAGCCTTCTCTTTTCCAACTGCCTTCTCCCTCAGCACATGAGACAGGCTTCCATACCCTAGAACTCTCCTCCTGCCTCTTATTTCTACCATCTTTGGGTGTTCGTTTCATACTGTTATTTCATATTCTACAAATGACAGTCAGTCATTCTGTGCCTGTCTTTCTCTTTCTGACTCATTTCACTTAGCACGATACTCTCCGTGACCATCCACTTATAGGCAGATTTCATGGCTTCATCTTTTCTAACAGCTGCATAGTATTCCATTGTGTAGATGTACCAAAGTTTCCTTAACCAGTCGTCTGTTCTCGGGCATTTGGGTTGTTTCCAGATTCTGGCTATTGTGAACAGTGCTGCAATGAACATATAGGTGCAGATGTTATTTCTACTCTGCTTTTTTGCCACCCCCGGGATATATTCCCAGAAGTGGTATTGCCTGGCTCATATGGAAGCTCAATATATAGTTTCTTGAGGAATGCCCATATTGTTTTCCAAAATGGCTGGACCAGTGGGCCTTACTACCAACAATGAATGAGAGTCCGTTTTTCCCTGCTTCCGCACCAGCACTGGTTGTTGTTCTTTTTGATATGTGCCAGTTTCTGTGATATAAGATGATGTCTCATTGTTGTTTTGGTTTGCATCTCCCTGATGATTACCGATGTGGAGCATTTTTTTATGTACTTTTTGGCCATTTGTATTACTTTGTGTAAGTTTCTATTCATTTCTTCTCCCCGTTTTTTGATGGGGTTGGAGGTATTTTTCTTGTAAAGTTCTACCAGTGTCTTATATATCCTGAATAATAACACCTTATCTGATGGATATTGGGTAAATACTTTTTGCCCCATTCGGTAGTCTCTCTCTGTATTTTGGTTACCATTTCTTTTTGAGGTGCAGAAGCTTCTTAGTTTAATATAGTCTCATTTATTTGTTTCCAATTGATTGGACGGTGGTGTTTCATCCTTAAAGATGCCTTTAGTTTCATTGTCATGTAGGATCCTGCCTACACTTTCCTCCATGTACCTTATGGATTCAGGTCTGATATTGAGGTCTTTAATCCATTTTTTTAAAATGTAGGAGTATTGCTGTTTATTCAGCCATTGATTAAACTGATTGAATTGGGCATGAACTCTTTTTTTTTTTTTTTTTAACTGAACCACCATGAGCTAACAGTTACAAAGCTTTCATGTTCAGGATTCAGCCGTGTAATGATTGAACACCCATCTCTCCACCAGTGCACACTTTATACCACCAATGTCCCCAGTATATCCCTCCACCCCTATCCCAGTCCTCATTCTGCCTTCATGGCAGGCAATTTCCCAGTACTCTTTCTCTACTTTTGGGCATTGTGTTTTACTTGAATTTTCCCACACCATTCAAACCTGCCTGCCAGGGGCAGGTGCTAGATCATTTATTGTCCATTGCTCATTTTGAATATCTTGGGTGCTGCGGCTGTGCACTTCTGGAATCCGAGATTGTAAATGGTTGAGTTCCAGAGACATTTCTGTAGACCAATAGACTAATCCATTTTGGGATTCTGTTAGGTGTCTCTGGACTAGGGCTGTTGGTTTGCTAAGATGGCACCCAGAGGTACATTGTGGGTGTGACAGCCAGACCATCGAGTGGGCAGGGAGCCAGGGAGGGATACCCCGGTGCCTCAGCCACCATGCGGCCTGGAGATTTCGTCTTAGAACCTGCATACCTGTGCCTTACTTGTGGAAGCTCTTGGCCATTGGGATTCCATCTGGAGTAGGTGCAGAGACTGCTCCTGCTCCACCTGGGGTGCTCTGGTGAAATTGGCTTGCTATAGGGCCCGGAGAGATCTCTGGCTCTGTGGTGTCTTCTGGGATTCGCTGCTGTGTCTCTGGCTTTTGATCTCTTTTGACATTTATTTGTGGGTCACTGAAGCAAGGCCAGTAATAGAGTTTACAGGATGGAGCTGGAGTTGGTTCATGGGGGTGACTGCCAGTGCTCCTGGCAGTATTGGGAAGTGTGGGGAGGTAGCCCACCCCAACTCCATGAAATCTGGAGATTTTAGTCACAAAACCCGCACACCCGAATTTTCAGCAGATCATATCTTGGTGAGGTCTTTCCTGCGATGGTGGAGACAGACCAGGATTATGGTGACGATTTTGGATTGTCGAAGCAAGAGGGTGCTAGGAGTTCTACTTGGGAAGGCACAGGTGAACCTCCCCACCTTCCGATTTACCCCAGTCTGTTCAGCCATGTGCAGGTCCGAGGTTAACTGTGGCCTTTGATCTTTTTTATGATTTATCTATGGGTCTCTGAAATAAGGCCAATAAATGATCTTGCATAGCTGAGCCAGAGGTGGTTTGTGGGTGCGGCTCCCACATACCTAATATTTGGCCATTTAATTTCTTGGTAAACTTGATCCCAAGTTGTTGGGGTCAGGTCAGAGGCAAGCAGCAATTTGGGGGTATCAGGAAGCGTGAAGGCACTACCAGGCTGCTGATACACTTGCCCCGCAGGTACAGATTTACCTTTTGGTGGCCTCATACCCCCGGTCTTTAATCCATTTTGATCTGACTTTTGTGCCTGGAGTTAGAGGTCTGAGTCCATTGTTTTCCAAGTAGTTGTCCAATTTCTCAGCAGCACTTGTTGAAGAGGCTTTCCTTGTTTCACTTCACATTTCTTGCTCCTTTATTAAAGATTAAGTGATCATATATTTGAGGGTGGTCTGGAGTGGTAGCACAGCAAGTAGGGTGTTTGCCTTGCACACGGCCGACCTGGGTTTGATTCCTGTCCCTCTCAGAGAACCCGGCAAGCTACTAAGAGTATCCTACCTGCGGCAGAGCCTGGCAAGCTCTCCGTGGCATATTTGATATGCCAAAACAGTAACAAATCTCACAATGGAGACATTATTGGTTGCCTGCTCAAGCAAATTGATAAACAAGGGAAGGACAGCGCTACAGTGCTACGTATTTGAGGGTCTGTGTCAGGGTATTCAAACACTGTTCCATGGGTCTGTGAATCTGTTTCTATTCTAATACCATGCTGTTTTAATTACTGCTGCTTTGTAATACAGTTTGAAGTTGGGGAGGGTGATGCCACCCATCTTATTTTTCCCAGGGATTGCTTTAGCTATTCATGGGGGTTTATTGTTCCATATAATTTCTAGTAGTGTTTTGTCTATTTCTTTGAAAAGTGTAATGGGTATTCTTATACAGACTGCACTGAATCTGTATAATGCTATGGGGAGAATTGCCATTTTGATCATGTTAATTCTCCCGATCCATGAGCAGGGGATGTGTCTCCATTAAAATGTATTTTAGCAGACTTTTTTCCCCCACTTTACTGCTATTAACTTTGTGCTAACCCTCTTTTTACTTCACTACCAAATCAACTCTAGATCAATGAATGAAATAAAAAATCTCCAGTACCTACCTCGGACCAGTGAACCCCGTGAAGTCCTCTTTGAAGACAGGACAAGAGCGCATGCTGATCATGTAGGTCAGGGGTTTGACTGGCAGAGTACGGCTGCTGTTGGGGTTTTGAAAGCTGTACAGTTTGGTGAATGGTAAGTCCATTGAATTCAACTGTGGGATTGGTTAATTTCTTACAGATATGTCCTCAGTTAAAAGATTGGAGAGGGTCCAGGGCCATATGTGCCCCAAAGGTCTGAGCTTATACTTTGCCTGACACCGTATATTTCCATGTGACCTCCGAGTACCATCAGGACTGGCCCCCAACAAAAACCAAAAAATTAAAGATTTGGGATCTTTATTTATTTATTTTTTGCTTTTTTTTGGTCACACCCAGCGATGCACAGGGATTATTCCTGGCTCTGCACTCAGGAATTACTCTTAAAAATTGTGGTAAAATACTCAAAGCAAAGTAAGAATTGTAAATCCCACCAGTTAAGTGTACTATTTAGAGATAGTAAGTAAATTCACATTATTGCAAAACATAAGTCCAGAAATTTTTCAAATATTATGGAATTTTAACTCTGTGTCCATTAAATGCTAGTTTCCCTGTTTATTCTTCCCTTGCTCCTCATAATAACATCCTCGTAATGTTACTCTATTTCTATGAATTTGACCATTTAAAATTCCTCATATAAATGGAGTCTAGTATTTGTCTTTGTGACAGACTCAGTATAATGTCTTCAAGATTTATTATTATACCTTGTATAATTGCCTTCATTTTATCGCTAAAGATTATTCAGTTATGTGCTCCACATTTATCTTTGCTAAATAAATTATGCAAAGATGAGTATTTCTATTATATACTCCAAATATTGGGCTGGAGTGATAGCACAGTGGTAGGGCATTTGCCTTGCAAGCGGCTGGCCTGGCCGACCTGGGTTCGATTTCTCCGCTCCTCTCGGAGAGCTCGGCAAACTACCAAGAGTATTTCACCCGCACTGCAAAGCCTGGCAAGCTACCCATGACATATTTGATATGCCAAACACAGAAACAACAAGTCTCGCAATGGAGACGTTACTGGGCCTGCTCGAGCAAATCGATGAACAATGGGTGGACAGTGCTACAGTGCTACTCCACATATTGATGTATCTCATATATCTGTATGCTCTTGGGTTGTTTCCACTTTCTTCTGCTGTGAGCTTGGTTGTACAGATAGCTCTTTGCATCTTTGCTTTCGTTTTCTGTGTAATATACATAGAAATGGAATCACTGGGTTATATGGTAATTCTGTTTTACAGATAGAATCATGAGGAATTATTAGACTGTTTTCTGTGGTATCTGCACTGTTATTTTCAAGTGGGGCCTAGTTTTAATAAGCTCAGGGTTTTGTTAGTTTATGTAGCTCAAGAATTTATTAATTTATTTAAAAAAATGTTTTCTTCTACTGGGTGTGGCCTTTGTTTCACTCTCTTGGCTGTGCCCTCACCTCCCCATACCCAGGGACCCTTAGCAACACAGCTCTGCCGGGTCCTAGCACCCACATTCTCTGATACTCTCAGACCTGGATTGGTACATGAGTATCATTGCAGTGGCCTCTGGCCACCTGAGCATTGTTAGGTGGGGGCTCTCTAGGCCCTCCTTTAAAAACATCGACTCCTTTACTACCATATTTTTGTCTACAGGTCCTCTAGCAGTATTAGTATAGTAGTTCAGACCTTTTTTCCTTTTACTTAGGATTTTAAAGGTCATTTAGTTTCTCCATATTGCAGACTGGAAGGGTGATATTGGTGATAAACTGTTTTATTTTATCCTAATAGGGCATTATAGAGTGTCATGGAGATGGTAGGGCACACTGGTGAGAGGAACGAAAGTTTAGCAGGAGAATATTTGTTTTCGGCCATGGTTGTTTCAGTGTTGTAACTCATCTAATTCGTTGTTGCAGAGGGTTGAGAATGGGTGCCAGACTGCAGCTGTTCAAGCTCCTTGAGCCATCTCCCTGCTATGAATTTTCATTTTTTAAACAGCTTTTTGGAGGTGTTTTGTTTATTTTTAAGTTAAAGAAGCAAGTAACAAAATAGCTATTTGTGCTAGTAGCATTTCAAAAAATAGGAAAAGTGAAATTTGTTACTGTCTTTCATTGTGAGATGCTATTTGTTTACATTTCATTTTGTTTATCTTAGGAGTGACCAGCCTCGCATAACCAAAGATGTGATTTGTTTTCATGCTGAGGATTTTACAGATGTTGTACAGAGACTTCAATTAGACCTTCATGAACCTCCAGTTTCCCAGGTAATAATCTCTTGCTTTTCAAAATTGCACTCTAAGAGATACAAAAAATAAGAATCTGTCCCAGTTTTGCTTTATATTATATTTTAACTTGGATATGTATAATAAAAATTCTAACATTTCTAGTTGAAGACTTTGAATCGAGGGTGTTGAAAGTATTTAAAATATAAATCTTCTGGCTGAAGAGATAGCTAAGTTGGCTGAGTGCAATGCTTTGCATGCTGGAGGCCCAAGTTAATTCCATGCACCAAAGGACCTCCCTTGATCAGAGCCAAGAATAGCTCCTAAACACCACAGAGTGTGACCCCCAAAACAAAATACCCTAAACAAAATAGACCTTCCCATGCTGAATGCTTCAAATATATTTTAATCTTGGAGATGCCTGGAGGGCCAGGCTTCCTCCAAGAGCCCTCACTGATTAGTTCTTCTGAGCTGTTTCACTGAACCCCGTTGCACTGTGTGCACATCTGAAAAAGGTGAGGAAAAACATTACTGAGGAAGATAAAAATGTTGCCCTTGACTCGGGAACACAGCTTAGAGGTAGAGCACTTGCTTTGCCTGTTAGAGGTCCTGGGTTTGATCCCTGGCACCATAAGAAAGTGTAAAAGGTTGCTCTTAGGTAGAGCTATAGGTATTGATGGTTAGCTGCATGTTGAAAGACTTAGATGCTGTCTTTGACCTCTTGTCTATCACTAGAGAGGTAGTCCAGGGTGAAGAACATTTCTCAAGCATTTGAGCTGATTTTAAACTAGTGAATCACTTATTGGTATTGCTTAGCTTTAATTTGAGCCCCCCCCCCCCCGTTACTGTAATTAGCCTTGGAATTTGTATATTCTAATTATAATGTTGCTGATTATATCCTAATGATACATATATTTTTGACTAAATTATTACATATTTTAAAGTCTAATGCAACTCTGTCTTCTCCTCAGTGCGTGCAGTGGGTGGATGAAGCTAAACTAAACCAAATGAGGCGGGAAGGCATTCGTTATGCTAAAATTCAGCTATGCGACAATGATATTTACTTCATCCCTAGAAATGTCATTCATCAGTTCAAAACAGTGTCTGCAGTGTGCAGCTTAGCCTGGCATATACGGCTCAAACAGTATCACCCTGTGGTGGAAGCCGCTCCAAACTCAGAGAGCAATTCTAACACGGAGTGTAATTTCACTGGAAAGCGAGAGTTAGAAGTTGACTCTCAATGTGTGAGGATAAAAACTGAATCTGAAGAACCCTGCACAGAGATGAATCTATTGACAGCAGCTTCATCCTCCTTCCCACCTTCATCAGAACTGAACCTACAGAAAGACCAGATGACTCAGCCTATTCCCATTTTAAAGGTGGAAAGTAGACTGGACTCCGACCAGCAACACAATCTCCAGGAACATTCCAGCACGCCTGTGTGATTTGTACATATATCCAAACACATTTTTTAACTTTTTTAAATTTTGATGTGAAGTTATAGTTTTATAACTGGCTTAAGTTAAGTTTTATTGGAGAAATCTTGCCTATAATTCTATAAAGAGAAATGACATTCCACAAATGTCAAGCATATCTTTTTTACACAGATTATGCAAAGTTAAGAGTTGTATCTTATCCCGTTAGTACAGTATGTAATAGTGGGTCTGCTGCTACTTTCTGTTTTAAGGTGTGAGGCAACAATTCAATCTCTTCTTCAAATCAAAATGAGAATTCTCTGGAATAACAGATTCTTATTTGGTAAATTATTCAGGTCCCTTAACTTTATCTTGCCCTGTCTCTTGCCATATTTGCTGTTTTATGAAGACCAGATTTATAATTTAGTACTCGTGTCTTTATGGCATAAACTGAATTTCTACAGTAAAAATGGCTTAAGGTGGCAGAGAGAATACCTGTATCTTTATATATGGGCAAATAAGTTATTTACTTCCAAACATAAAAAAAAAAAAACCCAAAAACAAATAGTTTCTAAGGAAAATTCAGTGGCTCTCTGGTTTCTTAACAAAAGAGAAAGCATAGCACTTTCTGATCCAAGCTGTCTTTTTTGTATCTGTTATTTAAAGCCCAGTGAATATTTCAATTAAAAATATCTAAAGATGAATAGTTCTTGTTCATTCATTATCTACGGTTCATGAATCTCTTCTAGAATACATGGTAACTATGGAAGATATTTTGGGTAAAAGAGCTGAATGATACTCTGTTGTTCTGCTTCCTAGTATCCTCACAATTATGTGTGGATACTTATGCTTCCTCTATTGATCATGAGTATCAAACTTAAAAAATGGTATCTTTCTCATGAGGCTGCCATATTTGTGCATAAAACTTAGGAAAAACTACTTTTGTCACCTGGCATCAGTATTTGTGATAAAGACCTACTGTTGACACATTTCAGTTCACAGTTTTAACTGGTAAATACACAGATTTACTAATTTTATTATTTACTACTGCTCTGTGTTGCTATTTTCTGACAAAGAATGTAGCATTAGACTCATCCTAGAGTTTTAAGGTAGCCTCAGGTTTAGTGCCTGAGTATTAATTTTTTTCTTGAACAGGCACAGTTCATATAGCTAGTGTATTCTTATTATTTTAGAATGTTAACACACACTTTCACTTTCTCTTAGTTAAAAATACAGTAGGCCTTTTATTAATGGAAGAGTATTCCCCACACCTAAGACCTGTATCTACCTGGTTATAGTGCAATTTGGAGATTTTCTTTCCTGGAGGGTGAGATTTGGAATATTTACATTAACATAGGCAAAAAAAAAAAGATGCTGATTTATTATGTCTGTCACCATGAAAACTTGGCTGCATCTTTTGAAATATCAAATATGAATTTTCTCTAAAATATTCTGAAATAGGTTAAATCTTATATAAATATTACTTTGTGCAATATTGTTGTGTAGTTAAATGCATATTAGCAAAGTATAGGGGTCACTGTGTAAACCGATAGAAAAGTAAACATCAGCAAATACTGCAGTGATTAGTTAGAATCTGTATTATTCCTTATATATATGTATATGTATGTATTCTCTGTTACAAAGGATGAAGACAATAGAGAAACATTTCAATGTAAACCATTTATGAATTGGAAGTGATGTTGGTTTTAGTTCTCTTTGTAAATAAGGTAATTAGAATGGTATGAAAAGTAATGTGATTATTGCAGGGGTGTTTTTAAATCTTGGGTATAAATTCTAGGTAAATTCTAGTTTATCAAGACTAATTTTTAAGGAATCTGCCTTCAGGGGTGGTGGTGTCTTTTTTAATTATTTTGGGAGGGAGAGGATTAAACACAAAGTATATGGACTTGGGTTATTTCTTGGGGTTTTTATTTTTTCCCTGTCCAGAAGAATTTCATAGAGCTTTACGCTTTACTCGGCTGTGCAAAGTAAAATTCTTCTCAGGCAACAATTGCTTTTTCAAATAATCATGAATAAGATTGTTAAAGCAAAAACTTTAATTTTCCTTGTCTTCCAAGATCCAATTTTCCCATTTCCCACTTGCCATCCAGCAGATGCCATCTGTCATCTAAGCTGGTCATTGCTAATAAACAAGGAGACTGTCTCCTGACAGCCAGCACTGTGTTTAATCACTCAGGAACCAGCGGATCTGCAAAGACCTACAATCAAAAATAAATCCCCATTTTTCTTTTATAAAACATTCACCCTCACGTCCAATATAAACATATAAAAGAGTATAAAAATGTTTAAGATCATGTACTAATGAATTCATTGTATATTAGGATTGCAATAGAATGAAGAGAGAAACATTTAGCTAGTAATGTATCTGGAAACTGAATGTCCTATGTGAGTATTAGATTTTAATAGCATGCTTTAAAGACTGATGACTATAAAAGCAGCTTTCAAAGTTGTATCCTAGTTTAGTGATACAAATGATTGCAACTTTTCTAAATCATTAAATTACTTGGTTTTGGTGGAGTGAGGCATGGAGCAATCGGGCGTCTTCTGATTTGTAAAGTAGTGATGGCAGTGAAGTTGTAATTGAAATTTAAACTGAACTTCCTTTTTAGTATATTATTTGTTGTGCCAACTCTTTGAGATTACTTGCAGAATGTGGCTATAAGTTTTAGTATTTTGTGGAGCAGAGGGATCTTTTAAAAATGTATTGATGCAAAGGACCCAAGAAATGAATATTCCTAATTTAGTAAGTAAAATGCTTTTTCTGAAGAGTCTTCCTCCTACCCCGGCAGTCATTCTGTAATTACCAAGATGTGTTAGGAGTTAGGATTATGGCTCAAAGAGATATCCCAAATTCATAAAGCAATAATAAAATTCCTACATACTAGTTTTCCCCTCGAGAGTTTATTCTCTAAAAATGAATTCCTGTGCTTAATTGTACTTGTAATATGCTTGTTCAGTAGTCAGAATTTGTTTTACTGGTACTTTATTTTTAATTAAAGACTTTTTTGCAAGATGCCCTTTCTCCTTAGAGACACTTGGCATATCATTTGATTAATAAAACAAACTCATGTAGGAGGGAAAAGTGCTTGTTAAAGAAATTTAATTACTACACCTTAGGAGAAGCATCAGTCTTTATAGACTTAACATTCAAACTAACTAATTGGAAAAATTTGTTTTATTTCCCTCTATAAATGTTTAGAATGAAAGTTAATTTTGGAACAAGAGTCCAAAATTCAAGAAAGTCCTTAAGAATATTCTTGATCATTGTTTTCATCTGTATCTGCCATTACAAACTTACTTGCATTTTTACCTTTAGAATAGTTTGTGTCTAATCTGTTTTATCATTGCTACAGATTTTAAAAAGAACCTTTCACTAATACTTGCCCGAGGTTCATATTTCTGCTTTGTGTCTTGTCTTTTCAAAACAGGTAATAACTATATTTATTGGTCATGAAGTAAAAGGAGAAAATAAACAAGGCAGAATTTTTCCTTTAGCATATAAGGGACCGATCCTCATTTTGAAAGTTCGTTGCTTTAAAAGCAAGTATCTCTCCATGAATGACCTTCCATTTTCTTCATACACTTTTTAGGATCCACTTGTGCATGTAGTTGAGACCATTGTCTCTTAATATAGCACTTTTCAATTTTCTCTAAAGAAATACGTACTACTTCTATCACGTTGTAAATTTTCATGTAATAGTGTTTTCTGTGACTAAACTCCATTTTGATTGGCAGCTAAGACTTTTTTTTCCTGTGGCTTTAATTTATCTAAGAGGTCTTTACATATAGATGAAATGTATAATTTGCCTGGCGGACTATTTGCGTTGTGTGGCCTTAGTTTATTGACATTAACAAGTGTTTTAAAAGGTTTTTAATGAATAGTCTTAATCTAAATTTGTGTGAATAATAATCCTTTTAACAGTGCTTTTTTGTAGCTGTCTAAGTGTGTTAAATTGTTAAGCTATTTCTTTGTAAAATAGGACAATGGAATGCATAGTTTTTTTTTTCCTGTAAAGTATTTTTTTAATAAACAAAGTTTGATTTGTCCTTTACTGATGTTTCATGAAAAAAAAGTGCAGATGAATTTTAGCTACAAGGTACCTGTTTTTAAAGTATGACATGACACTCAGCTTTCTCTTTCCTCTTCTACTTATTTTTTATTTCTAAGAATATTTTTTTCTACAGCATTGCACTCCTGGCATTGCTCAGCTCAGCAGTGCAGGACCGCTGCTTCAGGGAGTCAGGGTGGTGCCTGTGGGGTGGGGGTGCTGACGTGCATGGCAAGGGCTAGAACTCAGGGCCCCACACATTTTAGCGCATAGCATGTACCACTGGAACCACACTTCCTGTCAAATGGGTTTTTAATCTGCTTGTGAGAACTCACATTTTGAGTTCTGGTGACATGGAGACTTTTGTAAGTGGATGCATGCAGTGTTTGTTTACAGAGTGTAGCGACTTCGTTGCCATTATTGTATTAAAAAATCATTTTTTTCTTAATTTTTATATGGATTTCTTTATAATTGAGCTAACTGCCCTAAATTCTGAGACTTTAGTTCTCTTAGCAAAGGGAAGTGGATGGGATGGGAAGGGAACTAATGTTCTTGAGTAACTGCCATGTACCAGACACTTATGGGAGGTTATCATTTAATTCACATGGGAAGGTAATAAAATGTACATAACAACAGGTGACAAAACAGTTATTTTAGGTTGAAGAAATGGCCCAAGATCACATTGTGGAGCTGGATTTGGTTCTGGTCGTAGAGTGCATGCTTTGGGGCCCGGGAGAGTATTCAGAGGCTGAGTGTGTGTTTTTGCTGGTGACCTGAGATTGATCCCCAACCCCCATGATGTTCAGAGCACTGTGAGGGTGACAGCCCCAGCATTGTCATGAGCGTGGCCCCCAAACAACAAAGCCCACTCTGTTAACAGTGGCTATTTCAGGAAGCCCCAGAAAGTTTGTAAAGGGGCTCCAACACTGGTTTGCAATTTTATTAATCACTGACGTGACTAATTTACTTGATTCTTGTTTTTCCACAAAATTCTCTAGAAAGACTTTTTCCTGGGGTGAGCAATGGAGTAAAATGATAATGTAATTTATATGTTAAGGTGTAGACCACCACTTATCATCCAGTATTTTAAAGTTAGCAGTCTTAAAACCTAGTAAAATCGTTAACATTTAGCTCTTGAGAAAGCAGAAGCTGTCATAAACCAGCAAAGGATAGAAAGAAAACTATTGCTAACAAAAAAAAAATCAAGACTGGGTGAAATTTAAGCTGTAGACTTTATTTTCATCTCTTTATTTTTCTCATCAGTAAAAGGGGGTTAAACTTCCACCTACCATTGGATATGAGGGGTTATAGGAAACAAGGTCTAAAACCCTTAGTACAGCGGGTAGGATACTTGCCATGCAAGTAGCCTGCTGGGTTTGGATCCTTGGCATTCCATATGTTCCCCAGAGCACTGCCAGGAGTAACCCCTGAGCATTGCCAGATGTGGTCTAAACACCAAAATTTAAAAACCCACAAAAGCCTTACATAGAACATCACATTTCATTGCATAATTATGGTAGATTTGATAACTTAGGTGAAACTTTTTTTCCCCCCCTTTTTTTTAAAGGCTATAAACTTTGGGGCTGGAGTGTAGTAAAGCCGGTGGGGCGCTGGCCTTGCAAGTATGGTTCCCCAGGAGTGATTGCTGAGCAGAGCCAGGTGTAACCATGAGCACAGTTGGGTGTGGCCCAAAAGCAAACATCAAAAAAGGCTATAAACCAGTGTTAGGACTTAAAAAGACAGGTGGTGATTATATTGTGAAATACTGAGAATTTTTAAAATGGTAGTCCAACCATAACGTGTTAGTTTTAGTAGACCCAAATACTGCCTTCGTCAAATTGAAGGGTCAGTGTTCCATAGGTTCCATATATATGTGTATGTATATATACACACACATATACATATATATTCCATTTCAAGTTTAAGTTTATATATATATGTATATAACGGTCTAAAACCTCAACGCTAGCCATCCGTATTACAGGGCGCAGCTAAGTTGTCCTTTCTCCTGACCTTGCTCTCAAGCGGTTTGAATTCTTGACCTACCGGCGCGCATTTCCCAGGGGCTT